TTCAGAGACAAGTTTGAAGAAGCCTCCAAACGTGCGTATGAACTCTAATCCTTACTTTGATCGTTCATATTTCTGCATAATTTTTTATTTAACATATTAACTGTATAATATGTACTCTGATCTTGGCTTTAAAGGAATCAATCTATGCTCTAAAATTTTTGTTTTTCACTATGTTGGTTAGATTGTTTCCTTACACTCGCTTAAGCAATTCTTCGCTTTTACCCTTGATTACTTAAGCAATTTGGTATTGTTTAAGCGATCAAGTCCATGGTAGAATAAAGATCTACTTAGATGCACGATCATTTAAGTGATTTATTGTCTCGTTTAAGCGATCCTTTATAGAAAACCCTTGGTCACTTAAGCGATATATGTAGTCGCTTATATATCGCTTAAGCGATCATGGGCAATACATATTTTTTCCAGCTTTTCTCGTAAATTTTGACAAACTAAAGTCACCAACACATATTAATTCCATATTTTCTTCTGAATTTGACAACCTAATTGCATCAACACATTAATGCCATGTAACAAGCATACTAAATAAACTAAAACTCAAAAGAGGGAAATAAATATTGAATTGGTTTTGTACAAATCTGAAATGTGTCAATTATATTAAATTATACAGTAATACTATATTTACCGACCCAAATACCAATTTGTACATACCGACCCAACTATCCAATAACCCAAATCTCAAAATTTAACTCAATTCACATGAGTCAGTATGTCAAATCGGTAGCTGGGTCGGTAAGTCTAGCATTACTGTAAATTATAACATTATATACAACAAATAAATATCCTATATACACCCAAAACAAAAGGAGGGCCGACAGCCTCCATCCCCGTTCTTCATCATTTTCTTCAGCCACTTCCTCATCTTCCAAAATTATCCAGCACACCTTCAGCATCAGCATCAGTAGCAACACCACAACCCAAGTATCAATAGCCTGACGTCTAACAACACCAGTTGATCCAATTCAAGACAATCCAATTATTCAAGACAACCCAATAATTCAAGACAATCTAATAAGACAACATCACATAAACTACAAAATTCTAAGTCCAACTTCCATACCTTTTGATGACAGCATCAACAATGACTTAGATTGGGTTCTGGTTAGTCAAAAGGGATCATATGCCCATGGAAGCACTCAATAGCCTAGCGCTCCTGACAGTTGCTCATTGTTTCGTCATTCAAGCCGTCCATCGGGGTCTTAGTCATGTTGAACTCAATAAATTTTAGTGCCTATGCCCCGCAATCAACACTACAATAAGAGGAAGACATTAGCATTAGAATCAGCTTATAGAACAATTGTATTATATAAGTTTTATACAAAATTTACCTTGAGTCATTTGTAGGGACGGGAAGGCACTTAAGTGGCCACTTTCCCGTCAGTAGTTCATCACCCAAGTGCTGAAACATCCCGCCATCGCGCAACAGCGGCGGGAATAATACACATAGTGGCTGCAACTCCATCTCCAACTGCCTCTCTCGACAAATACTTGGGTTGCAGTCAAGGATCTGTAGCAAGCCCTCCTCTATAGCGCGACGATGGTTATCTAATGCATATCTTTGATGTTCATGATGTAGTATACTCTTTTAATGTTTGCCCAACTATTGCCATATTTGGGCCTTTCCCCCCGTACATACTACATCATCTTGCCATCAAACTGAAAATCATCGGGGACACCGTCGAAGTCATCTATGGCCAATCTTTTCCATTTGCCTCCCCTTGCTGCACCTCTACCACTACCATTGGCCTTTTTCATTAAAGTGTCATAGGTAGTTACTAGTGTTTGACCAAAGGCCACATCGGTGATGGCATAGTGCGGATACAAAATATTACCACTACTGCTCTGTCGTAGCCTCATAAGTGCCAATACCTCATCGATGTGCTACATCAAATAAAAACAACATAATAAGTATACAATACCTCATGGAAAATATAAGCAAAAATAAGAAAAAATAAGGGAAAATAACTCACCGAGTCATCGAGCCACCTGCTCATCGTCAACATCTTTTCAAACCACTCCCGGGGATAATCCTTGGTCTTGCACTTCACATGCCCATCACTTCCAAAATCATTGTAATAGGCATAGAAGAGTTTTTTCTTTTCCTCATCTATTGGCCTGTACAAATCGACCTTTAACTCCTCCGTTTTCACTTGCCCACTTCCTCCTCCATTTTCACTTCCCCACTTCCTCCACCTTCCTCCTTAGCCTACTCCTCCATTTTTGCTTCTCCACTTTCACTGAATTCCTCATTTTTTTCTTTGTTTTACTCTTCTTTCCATATGTTACTGTCATGTAAGGAGAAATTACATGCTTACTTTTTCGGTTCTATATTTTATGCTCAGGTTTCACTTCAACCACTTTCAATACCCCACCAACTTCCTCCTTCACCCTTTTCATCCGTTCTTCCATCTTCTCAAACCTCTCATAAACGGCTGTTGTAAAACTCTCAAACAAACTGTTCATGAGGTCAACCACCTCATTCTCCTGACACTGACGCCTCGGTAAAGCGGTACTTGTTGTACCGGTTTGCCAATTGGGTGGAGGCGTAAGGACCTCTTCATCCTCCTCCTTCTCCTCCCTCCTGCCGATTGGAGCTTCATTATCCTCGGCATCAATAAAATTCTCAAGCAGTGGCCTTGAACTGCACTCACATGTGTGGCCCCTTCTAGGTCCTGCATTAGGCGGTCTATCCTTTCATCTACTACATCCTCCAGTGTTTTGAACGATGTAACATACTCCTCTCTCGCTTCACCTCTAGTAGCGGTGAGGAAGGGACGGACGACTACTTGCAATAAGAAAAAAAATCAATCAAATTTAAGCCACATTTAAAAGCTATTCAAAAGATTAATCCTTTAATCTTACCCAAGCCGCTTGAATTTCCATGTCTATTTTGTCGTAATTCCAATGGGTACACTTCTCGATATGCCATCGCAACATCATAAGAAATTGCGGTCACTCATCTGAAGTTTTCATCTTCGGCCCCCCCCCCCCCCCCCCCCCCCGGGGGCGCTTTAGCCAGGATAGGGACAACCTCATACATCCAAGCCTACATTGTAAAAAAACAGTCCATATCATAATTAAAACACATATAATACCAAAAAATATAACAAAAAACTATTAATCTTTACCTGCATTGCCCATGGGAAGCCAAACAAATTGTACGTGCTCGATCTATTCTTCTCGATAGATTGGCGTTGCTTTAACGCCATGTCTTTTCCTTGCAGGGAGTCCATGGTTAGTTGAAATAATACTCGTCCCCACGGATAAGCATTAAAGAAGTCCATGTTGCTTGCAAACTCACCCAATCCATATTAACGACTTTTGTTGAATCCGAAGCCATTAGGATCGAATGCACGAACCATAGCAGGCACATCTTGAACCTCTCTGAAGAGGTATACCCACCTTCTCCTAACTTTTCCTCTAAATCATGTCCCGTAATAGATGCCTTCCCCCCCAAAACCTTTTTAGCCAAGTTATCGGCTGCCTTACTCTTCTTTATTCTCTCTTGCTCTTCCGCATTTGAAAATGCCCCACATCTTAAGCCTATCATCAGGGCATATTCCATCATCCCAATACATAGTGGCTTCCCATCCACCACAAACCACATTTCATTTTTTTTTTCTTTGGCTTTTAACTGAGTGCATCAACATATAATGCACTCCCTGCCCCTAGAACGCCTTTTTCCAATTTTCTCCGATGTTCACAAAATGATCGAAACAACTCTCTTTGAATCGGTCTATACCCTTCTTCTGTTCGTGTAAAATCTCTATTATTCTTGTAAAAACTTGCCAACTCGACCTAACTGTCACCCTTATGGGGAAGTACGATATCTTATCGTTTACAACTCTGACCCATAGTCTTTATAATGTATGCTTTAGAAAATCTGCACAATCGATATAAACTAAGTCTAAAAAAAAAAAAAAAAAAAAAAAAAAAAAAAAAAAACCAACAACCAATAGGCTGCCAATTTGGGGGATATTGGCTTCGAGGGCATCGGGGAGTGGGTGTTTTTGGCCTCGAGAGGACCGGGGATGCCAATGCAAGCCCTACAGAGGCTGTTGTGGCAGGTTCCATGAGGTTGGAGGGCTGAGGATGGCAGGAGGTGGCGGCATAGGGAGGCTAGAGGGCTGCCCTCCAAACCCCCTATTCCGCCACCTCCAGCCATCCCCAACCATCCCTAGCCCTCCAACCTCTCACAAACAACCTCCTTACGACCTCCCTTGCCTTCCTCCATCCTCTAGAACCCAAACAAAGCCACTCCCCCAATGCCTGCCAACTACTCGACAAAACGCCACAACAACCATAACAAGAAAACCAACTACATATCCCCCAAATTCGCATAGATCAATCAAATTTCTCATCAAATTCAAAAAAACAAGTAAAAAACGTGCCCTTTTTTCACCAGCGTCCTCTTCCTCGTCGGTGTCCTTCTCTTCAGAATCGTTTTTTGATTCTTCTCTCTGTTCTTGTGTCGCCGTTGTCTCCTCTGCCTCTAGACCACCTTCACTCATCAGATGATCCGCCAGAGCATCGTCTTCGATAGCCTTTGAATTGTCGCCACCACTAGAGTCTAGAATTTGGAATGGGGTTGAGTTTTCCTCCTCTTTGTGAATATCATCCATGATTTTGTGTAAGGAAGCTTTAAGATCGAACATTTGCCAGAATAGGGCACTTTCGTCGTCGAAAATGGTAGAGAAATCAAAAGTGTTCGTCAGTCGTTTTTTGGGTAATTGGCTCGATTAAGTGATTTTGAAGGGTGGGGTCGTTTTTTATTTTCAAAATTTAAACAAACTTTTATTAATTATAATATTACCCACATATATTTAAATCTTTTCAGTTTAACTCATTTAACATGTTTAATGAATCCTAAATGTGCCACGTCAGTTTTTCTAAATTAAAAACAAATTGCGAAATATTTTTTGTGTCATTTTTTTAAATGCAAACTTGGGAGGTCGGAGGGTTAAATTTCCTCGATAAAAATTATATCAGTTGTGTTTCAGAGGTTTTAATGGAAAAAAATACCAATCCATTAGCTGTTTCTTAATTTTTGTCAGCCCAACCCAACTACTCAACCAGTTGATCTTACAATTCCACTTCTCATTTTGAGTCAGACGATCATCTCATTACTTCCGAATCACTGATGGCAAAGCAGACACCAAGTAAAGCAACTCTAGTGAAATGTCATCATCATTTTTTCTTCCACCTGAAATTCTCTGCAATATTCTCTCTCGTTTACCCTCTAAGGACCTCATTACACTCACAGCTGTTTGCAAATCTTGGTTTTCTTTAATCACCCACCAATCTTTCATCTCTACCCACCTCAATCTCCGTAAGAAATCTGATCCCTTTCTTTTGCATTACAAAGCCGGCGATTTTCGCGACAACTTCCTCTCCGTTTTGCATAGCGAAACCTACGCTTACTATTCAACTTTCCCAATCCCATTTATTTGCGAGAGCAATTACTTTAAGTTAGCCGCTTCTTTTGATGGGCTCATTTGCTTGTCTGACTCTTATCAATATTTTGGTCGAATTATATATTTATGGAATCCGGCTATATGGAAACTCAAGATCCTTAGAAATTCTTGTTTCGCTCGAAAGTTTAAAGATTGCGGAACTTTTTTCGCTCTCGGGTTTGGATTTTCCCGCAGTTCTAATTATGAACTAAAGATTGTGAGGATAATGTATTTTGGGGATTTTTATATGCCTGTTTATGTTGAGAAAGAGCCACCAAAGGTTGAGGTTTTCTCATTGGCTACTAATTCTTGGAGAAGAATTGGAACAAATGCTGGAAGCTATGCAATCCAAAAATCTTCGGATGCATATGTCAATGAAGCTGTGCATTGGTTTGCTTCCAAGACTAGGGGACCGTCTAGTAATATTGTTTTGTCGTTTGATTTTGATAGGGAGAAATTTGGAGAGATTATGGTTCCGAAAATTGATCCTGATGGAAGAAATAGGCTTCGAGTTTCTGCTGATGTTTTAAGGGGATTGTTAATCTTGATTGTTCACTGTGTTAACAGCATTGGCATAGTTGAGAATTGTTGCATATGGGTGATGACTGATGAGGGAGTATGGTGTGGCTGAGTCTTGGAATAAGGAATATTCGATTGTACCGGAGAAAAGTATCTTGAGGTCCTTATGCATTGTCAGTGACAATGATTTGTTGATCTTAATGTCTAATAGAGAGGTGGTTTCCTATGACCTTGAGCAACTGCAGTTTAAACATGTTGGAATTGGTGGCAATGATATGACAATAGATTTGGTTACTTTTGTTGAGAGCTTAGTCTTGTACAAAGAAGGATTTCGTTTAAGTCCGCGGAGGTTTTTATTTCCTGAAGGTGGCATTTGTTTGGGGAAGAGAAAATGGAGTGTATTCAAGCATTTGCAACGAAAATGGCGCTGAAACATGAAAAACGCTTCATATGTGGTCTGCTTTATTTTCCTTTGTGTAATTGCGAGCAGATTCTGCTTATTCATAGTTGGATGTATGCTATTGATTCCTTAGCTTGCGTATTTTGTGATTGTGATTACCACTGGTTGCTTTGCTCTTTACGAATTGTGATGAAACATAACTAAACTTATTAGGGTGTACATAAGTACAGGTATTATGACTGGTTAAGTGTAGTGATTATTTGCTACCTAATAATAAATGGTTTTGTTTATTAGTACGAACAATTCTGAATAACTGGACTTAGATGCTTCATCGTGTGAGAAGAGCACAATGATATGATCCACTGATGACTAGAAAGTGAGACTCAATTTCACTGTTAACAAATTTTAATATGACAGGAGAGGATATGCAAGTGGTCGATCAAAGTAAAGTAGGAGTGAAAAGAAGTCTCGCAAGGCAATGTTGAAACTTGGAGTGTAGGCAATTCCAGGAGTCAACCGTGTTACCGTTAAAAAGATAAAGAACGCGAGTGTTTTGAGTTATTGTCTAACTTTTTGTTCTTCTTGTTCAGTTTCAAACTTGTGTAATATGCTGTTTACTTTCTGCCTTTTTGTTTTTGTTTTTGTCTCGGGCTGCTTTGTGCCACAAACTCTTGTGCTTTGCATTTTCCAGATTCTGTTTCAGACACATACATTGTTTTGGGTGAAGCAAAGATTGAGGCTGCAGAGCAATTCAAAGCTCCTTCTTGTTTGCGTAATGTGGCTTCAAAGCCTGAGTTATCGACCATGGCTTAAGATGAACAAGAAGTAGACGAGGCTGGTGTGGTCCGTTTGGATCTGAAGGACATTGAATTGGAGATGACAAAAGCTAAGGTGTCAAGGTCAAGGGCCGTGAAAGCAGTCAAAAGCTGCAAAATGGTGACTTTGTTTCTGCCATTATGGAACTAAAAATGTTCAGCCGAGAGATTATTTTCATTTTCCGTTGTTACCCCCTTGAATGATTGAGGTTGCAGATTTTGAATATTTATTATTAGTCTGTGTTATCTTGTTCTCTTTTTCATTATGTATCAGAATGAAGCAATGTTGGTTGTGGACTTATGCTATACATTTTGTTCTTCAAAGTAGCACATACATATTTACTTCACAGTTGGTTTGAAAGAATTTATGGGAAAATCCTTGATGGGTTTTGATTTTTGACAGTGTATGCACCGAGATTATGGTTGATGATGTATAATGCCATTATTTTGGGGCTCAATTTTGCATCTCAAATTTATATTTTAAGTGATTTTATCTTATTCGGTGGGGAGGTGTTGATGCACGAGATGTGTTATCTCAGACACTGTTAATGTGTAATACTTCAATTATAACTCACGAATATTAACATTGTCCATGGCTTAGTGATATTATTTAATTTTAAACTATGAAGTGGTGAAATCAAGTCGAGTATCTGGTTAATCGAACTCGACTCGAGCACTATAGTATCAAATTTGAGCCTCAAACTCGGTACCAGAAATTGGAATTTGAGTTTGTATAATTGAGTTTTAGTCTAGTTTCATTATTTGAGTCGAGAATACGAGCTTAATCAAATTCAAGTATTCGAGTTTCAATTGAATTCGAGTATTCGAGCTTTAATCGAGTTTGAGTTCTATTATGATTGAACTCGAATTCGAATGACTACTTGAACTCGAATCGACTAACGTCGAGTTGAGTTCGAGCCAAAATCGAGTCGAGCTCGAGGTTCGACTTGATTTTCACCCCTACTAACCCAAGAGGTTGACTTGACAGTCAAGAATATATTTGTTCATTCTATTGACTTTCTGGGTTTAAACCACTTTGGGGTTATATACCATATTTGTAACCTACCTTAGAATATTAGGTTTGCAGGGTGTTAGGGTGTTCAATGGACCCTGAGAATACAAGCTACTTTAGACACCCTAATCATAAAGAAAAAAGAAAATTAAACTACACTCCATTGCATCTCGATCATCTAAAATACTAATTTTCAAAAGAAAAGAAAAAAGAAATGTGCTCAAATAATATTATTATGTGACTCTCAAGTTTATACTCCAAAATGATTTCAAATAATTTCTCACTAATATAGATTCGAAGGTGAATAATATGACCAAATAATAAAATTATATAATATTACATCATTCAAAATACAAAAATACTTTATGTGAAAACATCAGCTCAATTTGCTTGATTCTCTGCTAGGCAGCCCAAATCACTCTAAACCCAAACCCGAGAAGGGTCCATCCCTATATATAAGCGAAATATAAGTTAGACAAACTAAGCGGTGGGTATCTAGGGTTTCATTAGCTCATTATCTTCGTTTCAAACAGTAACCATGACTGCTCAAACTCAGGAAGAACTCCTCGCTCAACATCTCGAGCAAGAAAAGCTCAACGTAAGCCTTTCCCACCATTTCTCTTTTCGTAGAACCCATGATTTTTTTTTTTTTTTTTTTTTTTTTAATTTGTATATATTACTGTTAATGAACTCTTCGTTAAATTTATGGCATGGGGCACCTTCATTTACTGATGAAACTAGTGTAAAATGATTACCCGTGTGTCCGGCTTGGTTAAGATGAAAAGTTATGTTATACATCTTAGAGTAGAATGAATTTTGTAAAACCCTTTTTGTGTCGGTCCCAATTAAAGACTGAACAAGTCCGAGCTTATTGAGTACTTGTTCTCTTTTTTTTTGTGAAAAAATTCTATCTCAAACCAAAGTAATGAGGTTTGTTGTGGGTGTTTTCAAGCTCTGATTTGTGGCAGTGGGGACAGTGTTTGAATAATCTTTGCTTGCATAGTTGAGAATTCATTGTAATGTTTGTTGCAGCCTGATGAGCCTGTGCTTGAGGATGAGGATGACGATGATGACGATGAGGAAGATGACGATGATGACAAGGATGAAGAGGATGCTGAAGGTAAGAGAATAACAGTCATAGAAAAATACAATCGTTGTGCAAAGAATTGTGAGATATTGTAGAAAGGTTTTTGGACAGTTACCAGATAGAAGATACTATTGTCAATCTTTATCTGCTGCGTATAATAAGTTGGATTTTATGTTTTTATTAAAAGCATACTCAACGTGGAGGATATGTATATTTTTTACTTGTTCTTTTACAAGCATATTTTTTGTATAAACAAAATACTGCTGTTAAATGGTTTTGTTATTCTTGATCAGGATGTTTTTCTTTTAAGTCTGTTTTGGCAATAGATTTATATACCTTGGTGCAAATAATTTGAGATGGTGTAGAAGGGTTCGCAGTGTTCCTCAAATACTACTTCAACCTTTACATTGAAATAATATGATCGGCTTTATGATTTTTTGGGGGATTTAGACTATTGTAATACAATTTTGACACAAATTTGGGACACAAATTCATGGCCATTGATTCAATGTATCCAGTGGACTTGGATGAGAAGTTAGAGTTAGTTAATTTTTAATGCCAACTAAACAATTTTTTTGTTGCAAATTTGTGTTAAAATCGCTTGGCGCTTTGTTGGGAAGCATTATAAGTGCAAAAGGAATTTGAATATTTCTTGTAGTTGGGAGAGATTCCTTAATAGTCCATACATAGAAAACAATTTATGTATGCCTCAACATTTTTGGAATCATAACCACAGTTAGTTATAAATAGTTTTGATATTATTTTATATTTGTGATTATAGTAACTTAGCATTCAATCAGATTTATGAATTAATTGGAAAAGCATTGTTATGGATTGGAAATAATATTAAAGAACTTACATGAATGCAGTGCATATGATGAAAAGATATATTTGAGATGCATAATTATTAGACTCGAACATTGTACTTTATACACATTATTAGAGTTGTAAACAATTGTAGTTTATGAACATTATTAGTTGAAGGTAGGGCACAATTTCACTGGTGGAAATTTTTCTCATGTTTCAGGGAAAGGAGATGTTAGTGGTCGATCAAAGCAGAGCAGGAGTGAAAAGAAGTCTCGCAAGGCAATGTTGAAGCTTGGAATGAAGCCAATCCCAGGAGTCAGTCGTGTTACTGTCAAGAAAAGCAAAAATGTCTGTTTGAATTGCTCCCAATTTTTGTTTCTCTTTGTTTAGCTTAGTTGTCGATTTCTGTTTAATATGAACTCTAATGCTTTTTATTTTTCAGATTCTGTTTGTTATCTCAAAACCTGATGTTTTCAAGAGCCCAACATCAGAGACGTACATTGTTTTTGGAGAAGCAAAGATTGAGGATCTAAGTTCGCAACTACAGACTCAGGCTGCAGAGCAGTTCAAAGCACCTCCTTCTAATTTGACTAGTGTGGCTTCCAAGCCTGAGTCATCTACCATGGCTCAAGATGAAGAAGAAGTAGACGAGACTGGTGTGGAGCCGAAGGACATTGAGTTGGTAATGACACAAGCCGGGGTGTCAAGATCAAGGGCTGTGAAAGCACTGAAAGCTGCGGATGGTGACATTGTTTCTGCCATTATGGATCTAACAAATTGATTGTCACTTTATATTAAAGATGTTCTGCTTAGTGGTCTTTTTGAGGATTTCTTCTTGGCGTTGTTTCTCTTGAAGAATTGAGGTTGCAGATTTTGAGTAATTTATTATTAATCTGTGTTCTTTAGTTCTCTTTTCCTTGTGTATTAGCTCATGATTCAATATTGGGGTTGCACTTGTGCTCCATTTTGTTTTTAATCACAGTTGTTTAGACATAATATTATGGGAAATCCATCATGGCTTTTGAGATCATGATCAAAGATAGGTTGATAAACATTTTTTACAATCTTCTCGATAAAATTTTTTTACAATCTTTTCTCACAAACGTGATATGACAGTTTGTAATTGGTTAATTCGCATATAGTTAGGCGAGATTTATTATTGGGTAGGTGAGATTTATTGCAAGCTGATCAATTACGAATTATGCGAAATATGTTGCGTTTGTGAGAGAAAGTGAGAAGGGTTTGTTAATATAGTATTATTCTTGAAATATGTTACTTGTGAGAGAAAGTGAGAAGGATTTATTAATATAGTATTACTTATGAGATCATATGCAATGAGGTATTAGTGCAATTAATTGGAAATAATTTCTGACTTATGATAGAAAATTTGGAAATCATCTAGAATTTGTAACATTATTCTTATTGAATAATTTCTTATTACAATTGCTAACAATTAGCAATGCAAAGATTAACTTAAAATGATATTTCAATTTGGGTTATTAACTCTCCATTATCTAAATTATTGTCAATATTTATGCAACAATTTGGAAATTCCTTTCAACGCTTTCTTCTTTTAGGATGAAATCCGGGCTAGATTTGATTATCAAGATATAATGAGAGCACATAATTATGTATTATTGATGGTAAACAGTGAATGATATATTAATTAATTAATGATAACAAAAATTAGAATATAAATTTAGAAAGTGAACGTTAAAAGTTGAGGATGAGGAGAGTATGATAAAACAGATTTTGGTTAGAATTAATATCAAAATGTGATGTGATTCGTTGTAAAAGTAAAATGATGAGTTGAATTTGGTTGGTTCCTCAGTGAGTTAGCCTAAACCACCCCAACCCAAACCCGAACCCGAATAAGACCAGGTTCCATTCCAATCCATCTACATAAAACTCCATTTCATATAGCTTGAGTTCGATTATCGGGTATTGTTAGGGTTTTATCTTCCTCTCAACTCTGAAACTTAACCAACTCAAATACCAACAATGACTGCTCTATCCCAAGAAGAACTCCTCGCTGCTCATCTCGAACAAGAAAAGCTCAACGTAAGCCAATCCTACCCACTGAAATTTATTTAATTTCGTTCGTAATTGTTTTTAATTGTATATTTTTCAGTCAATTACCTCTTTGTAATTTCTGGATTTACGAAGTTTTGTGGCATAGGGCACCTTTGGTTATCGAATAAAGTAGTGTAAAATGAACACCTCGTTTCTGGCTTTTTTATTTTTTTAATTTTTTTTACAATAAAAATTAGAAGTAAAGTTATGAATGTTTGAGTTGAATGAATTTTTTTTACCTTTTTCTTTTTCTTGGTCCCAATTTAAGACTCTGTTCGAACTAATAGAATACTAAATTTTGCTTTCTCTGTTCAAAATTATGAGACTAGTTTGAGAGGGTCGATCGTATGCTAATTTGCTTTGGTTGATTTAATGAGGTTTGTTGTTATGGCTGTTGTAAACTTATGATTTGCTTGTGGATGACACATAATAATGTTTGTTTCAGCCTGATGAGCCTGTGGTTGAGGATGAAGATGACGACGATGATGATGAGGAGGATGAAGATGATGATAAGGATGAAGAGGATGCTGAAGGTAGTATCAGAACACAAATATGAATTTTGTTAATATTATTTAATTCCATTCTTTGTTTCTTTGCAAGCATGTGCGTTCTAAGAGTGTGTGACAACAATTAGCTGATGAAGATTTCATTATTGTAGATTAAGAACATTGTTTTTGATGTAGACCTGTCTTTGATGTGGATAAATATAATCTTTGTGCAAAGAATTCTGAGATATTGTATAAAGGGTTTGAAGAGTTACTCAAATTCGATTGTCAATCTTTACATGCTGAATATTTTTCATTGATTTATGATTTTATTGTGTAGCATTTTAAACTCAGAAGTATTTAAGTATTTCAAGCCGTCTGGAGAGATCCCTTAATAGACTATACACCGAAAGCATTTCATTTATATGTCTAACATCTTTGAAATGACAATCAGTGTTATAAATAGTTTTGATATCATTGCATAGATGGGATTTTTAGTACCTTCGAAGTTCAATCATATTTATGAACTAATTTGGAAAAGCATGGTAATGGGTTGGAAATAGAATTACTGAATTCACATGGATGCAATGCATATCTTTAAAAGATCTACTTGAGGTCCCTAGTTAATAGAATTATAATATGTATAATTTACAGTTTAGTTTGGACGACTGTAAGCTTTATCATGCGCTGAGAGCAGAATCATATTGTTTGTGATCATTGTATACAGTGATTAGTATGAAGTTTGGCACAAATTAACTGTTGGAAAAATTTATTATATTCCAGGGAAAGGAGATGGAAGTGGTCGATCAAAGCAGAGCAGGAGTGAAAAGAAGTCTCGCAAGGCAATGTTGAAACTTGGGATGAAGCCAGTAACAGGAGTTAGTCGTGTAACAGTAAAAAAGAGCAAAAACGTCTGTTTTTGAATTTTTGTCCAACTTTTTCTTTCTTTTAATCTAGTTTAGTTTTTAAACATATAATTTAAACTCTTATGCTTTTTATTTTCAGATTCTGTTTGTTATCTCAAAACCTGATGTTTTTAAGAGCCCCACATCAGAGACATACATTATATTTGGTGAAGCAAAGATTGAGGATCTGAGTTCGCAACTGCAGACTCAGGCTGCAGAACAATTCAAGGCTCCGCCACCTAATTTGAATAATGTTGCTTCAAAGCCTGAGTCATCAGCCATGGCTCAAGATGATGAAGAAGTAGATGAGACTGGTGTGGAGCCGAAGGACATTGAGTTGGTGATGACACAAGCAGGGGTGTCAAGATCAAGGGCTGTTAAAGCACTCAAAGTTGCAAATGGCGACATTGTTTCTGCCATTATGGAGCTAACAAACTGATTTGTCTCATTATTAGTGAATGTTTTTCATCTGAGTGGTCGCTCCAGGATTTTTTTTTTTTTTTTTTTTTTTTTCATTTTCCGCTGTACCCTTGTGAATGGGTTACAGATTTTATTTTTATTGTTGTATTTGTATTTTGCTCTTGCGCCCGTGACTCAGCACTAAACAGCAGTAGTCAGTTTTGGTTGTTACATAACTGTTCCTGGAAGTAGTAGCTTAGTGCATATTTACCCACTTCAAAGGTGGTTAGAATATTATAATGGGGAAATTGTTTGTAGTTTTAAGAGTAAGCTGAATAAGGATGTGAATCATGTGATTGATAAGAGGAATGTTATATATCATTAGTTTTATATTTGGTATATGGTGATAGAATCATGCAATATTATATTTGCCTCTACTAAACTTTGATTAATTTCATGTCTTAGACAATTCTAAAGCATTGTTTTAAAACCCGGATCGGATTGGCTTATTTGATCATTCTTATCGGGAATCGGCCCCTTCTTTGGTTTGGGGACACTCTAAACTTTGTTTTAGTCATTGGCTCGGAGTGATCGGTGGTTGAACAGGCGAAACAGGGTTGAATGGGCGGTTCAGTTTCGCCGGTTCAACCATCGGGTCAAAGAATCGCCTCTTTGTTGTCGCCCGAGAGAGATGCCCCATGTTTCTTCTTCACGTCGCGCACCATGCGGCTGTTACCAGCTGCTCCTCAGCCACTTCGTCGCCCACAAACACGCCCATACTCACATTGGCCAACCCATTGTGTGAGCCACCAATGGGTTCTATTGTGGCAGTTGGTGGTGTTTTGTGGTGGATCAATGTTTTTCTGGTGGCCTAGTGGTGGTTTGTCCGGTGTCAGGCTGATCTGGGTGGATTGTAGTTGCAATGGTTAGGGTATCCTAGCCAGATCACAGGAGTGTGTTTGCTGGATTTTAAACCTATAGGGATTGATGCGTAATTTTTCAAGGGTATGTTTGTTAAGTTTCATACTAAGATTTCATGCTGACGTCATCGGTTTGACCTGCTAGTCGAACCAGTCGGATTGCCCAACCCAGGAACTGGCCCCTTGACCGGGTTGAGTTTAGAAATATTGTTCTCAAATCAAAATCAGTCTATAATAGTTATGAGTTATGACTTGAAAAATCTAAGAAGAAAAAATGTTGCCCCCTATTTGTGATGTAGGGCTTCTACTGTAAATTTGGTTCCACATTTATTCATTTCAAGGTATCTAAATCTTTTTATCCTTTGAGCACGAATTCTATACTGAAATATGAACCCTTATAAACCATACACATATATGAGAAAAATAAAAGGGAAATTAATAAGGTAAAAATGTACATATCATGTTACAATAAAGCCTTGAGGGATCACATGGTACACCTTTGAAATAAAATTTAAAAATATTAAAGCGCCTCAAAAAATGTTAGCTAGGTAACATTTTGATATCACAAAATTTTGTTGTTGATTGATAGTCTTATTCTTTTATTTGTAATAAGAGCAAGACATATTTGCAATGATCATGTATTGGGTCATCATGTAAGACAAACATACCAAAACCTTTCAAGATATCCAATGTATTCAACATATTCATATTATGAGAAGGTTTGAAACTTTGGTATCTTAAAGTTTAAACTTTTTGCATTAACATGCAAAATTCATCGTTCTGAAACCCGGCCCAGTTTGACCGGTTAGATCGGGCTCAAGGCCTTCTCCAGGCTGGGTTATCACTTTCCACTGTTTCCAAAATCCCTAACCTAACTGCCGAAAAATACAGGGCTACCAAATGTCGGGGTTAGAGGGGTTTTGTAGAGTGGAGGCCTGTGGTTCAGGTAGTGAGTGATGTTAGATTGAATTTTGGATGTTAGAATCAGCCGGAATTTGGTTGGAAAAATCAACCCAATCGTGGCAATATACTTGAGTCACGACCAATGAACGGGGGGCTACCAAGTGCTAGGGTTAGAGGTGTTTTGTAGAGTGGAGGCCGGTGGTTCAGGTGGTGGTGTCGGATTGAATTTCGGCCACTGAAAACAGTCGAAATTTGGCCAAAAAAATCAACCCTATTGGCCTGTCATATGCTTTGATGTGCCAAAAGTAACTAAAAAGTTGGTTGATCACTAACCAAAACATGCTAAGGTCTGACACAAGTCATAACCAAACCAAAACAGATTTGTCAGGTGGTATGATCGCGCGTGAGCAGATTTTTCAAGTGTTACGATCCTGCACGATCAAGGCACAACCATTCAATATGATAAAAAACTGCCCAGATGAATGTACCATTTTGCACGACATCATTCCATATGGTCATCCAATGTTTTGCCAAAATTTGTGACATCGCTCATTCTGGCACGACCGTTCCACTTAAGTCAAAAGTCAAGATATTTCAAATTCAAAATCCTTCGTGCTCTTGACTATTCCTCAAAAGTCAATCTTGTAGATCAAGTCAAAACTCAAAGTATCAAAAGTGCAATGACTGTTCTCCATGGTGGAACGACCGTTCCTATCTGCATATTTTCTTTCTAATCGCATGACAACGTTCGAAGAAGCTATGCATGCTTCTGGAAAATTTGATGGAATTGAAAGAGCCTTTGGTCAGACTATTCTGCGTGGTGGAATGACCGTATGATGCTTTGGCATGATCATACAGTGTGGTGGAATGATCATTCCATAAACCCTAGATATGAGAAAAAGTATATGTTGTGTTAGGAATGACCATTCACGATTATGGAACAATCGTTCCTTTGGGTTCTGTAGACTTTTTAGAGTTGCATTAAATGAGAAACGACTCAAATTTGAAGGGATATAAAAGCTCAACGTCTTTATGCAAAAGGCAAAGGAGAGTCTTATAAAAAATCAGAGAACATTCTCATATAATCCATAGAGCTCAAAATCCAAATCAAATACTCTCACTTGCACTCATATTGTAAATCTTTGTGAGTGTTTTTGTTCTTATTGTGTGTATAAGCCTAAAAAGAAGAGGTAGTCATTCATAAAACCCTTTGATTAAAACCTTGTTGGAGAAATCTTGTAAAACTAGGTGCAATCCTATAAACTAGTGTGTGTTGGCGAAATCCTGTAAAACTAGAGAGTGTTGGCGAAATCTTGTAAAACTAGTGAAAGTGTTGGTGAAATCTTGTAAAACTATTGTATTGGCGCAATCTGATTCTAGTGAAACTTCAAGGAGGTTGCCTTGAAGTGGATGTAGGAGACTTGTGGTTATAGTTCTTAACCACTATAAATTTCTGAGCATTTCTCTCTCTTTCTCTCTCTCTGTCAACTTATTTATCACTCTTGCACATACATTCATTGTTCACATTTATTTCTTGTTTATCTTTATAACTTGATTACATTTATTGTTCTCTATTGGGTATCTTCTCTGCTCATTTATGCTATCATTATCATTGCCATTCTTTGCTTGTTGAGTTCATTTAATGAATATTGATTTGTTAAACTCATCATTAGCCACTGCTTGTGGTGATAGTTTTTATTCCATGATAATTATTATTAATTCCTATTCAACCCCCCTCTAGGAATATTAGCCGTATTTAGGGTTTCACAAACCCAATCGCGACGGTATATGAGAGTCACGACTGATGAACGAGTGGCTACTAAATTCCAAGGTTAGAGGGGTTTTGTAGAGTAAAGGCCAGTGGTTGAATTGGTGGTGTTGAATTTTTGGCCACCAGAATCAGCCATAATTTGGCCAAAAAAATCAAAACCCTATCTCTTTGTAGAGTGAAGGCTGATGGTTCACTTATGTTGTAATCACAATTCGTAAAGAAAGCAACGAGATATAATCACAAACAAGCATTTTTAGGAATCAATATCTTATGTCAACCTTGTTGAATTATTATTGGTATTTCAAAAAGAATTTGTGAGGACCGTTATTGTTTTTATCCTATTGACCTACAATTCCTAAACTTTAGCAAGGAGTTTTACTAACTATTGGAGTTAACATTATTCTTGATTTCTCAAAACGTTCATAAGCCTTATTTTACTCTTATATTTTTCTCAATCTCAATGTTATTATAACGTTATAATTTTTACACTATAAAAAGAGTTATTATTCTTTAGAATTATACAAATAATCAACCTTCCTCTCTATACTTCTTCTCTGGGTTAATAAAATTTTCCTATTGTTATGCGTACCTAGAATTCATTTCAGAAGAACCTGTTAAATCCTGGGGGATTTTCGCATTCTTGAAATATTTGTTGTGGCGAAATAATCCTAGAATTCGCGTTCTATTTTTTCCTTGTTTCTAAATTATTTTACAACAATCTTAAGGATTGTGGAGTCTACTCTCGGTAACAATTCTCCAACTGTTGCTACTTTTGTTGCTGTTGTTGACAATCTTGCTGCTATAGCTTTTGGCAACACCTCCTCCGCTGTTGGCCTTCATGGGGTGTCCCATTCAGTTGCCTCTATTGTTCCAATAGTCGCCGTTGCCTTATATGCCAAACCTTTTCCTGATATCTCCAAAATTGAAATGTTTGGAGGACAAAATTTTAAAAGATGGCAAGAACACATTCTTTCGATCCTTGACATGTTTGGTGTAGTTACTGCTCTCACAGATCCTAAACCTGGACCATCCGTTGATCCAAAACAATTGGAAACCTAGACTCATGCTACAAGGTCTATAGGCATACAATCGTTAGCACCTTATCTAATAGATTGTTTGATATCTATTACCCCTATAAAGAAGCCAAGGATATATGGGATTCAATGAAACTAAAATGCAATATTAAGGATGCTAGGAAGCAAAAATTTGTTATTGACAACTTCTATAGGTGGGAGATGACAGATGACAAGGATATCAAGATGCAAATCAATGAATACCGCAAACTTTTGGAAGATCTCAAGGTTGAAAACATCAATTTGCAAGATAAGTTTATTGCATGATTGCTGATTGAAAAGCTGCCAGGATCTTGGAAGGATTACAAGCAACAACTCAAACATAAGCACAAACAATCGTCATTTGCAGATTTGACCGCCCATATCATAATTGAGGACACCAACAAAGAAGAACTCAATGCTGCAGAAGCAAAGGAGATGACTTCAAAAGCACACTTGGTGCAAGATAAGTTTCAAAGCAATATAAGAGGTATGATAACAAAAAATCTAATTACAAGCCTAAAGCTCCTAACCACACCTTCAAAAAGAAGGGAAATTGTTTTGTTTATGGAAAGTCAGATCATCATGCACCTCCATGCAGAAAGAGAATGAGAAATGACAATCCTTCTAAGCCAAAGGCAAAATTTGGTTAAAGGAGATGATATAATTACAACGTTTAGTTGCTTATCTTGTAGCCAATGTGAAAGAATGAGTGGTAGACTCTGGTGTTACCAGACATATTTATG